TTTTCATTGTCCATGCCCCAGTTGTCCATTTTGGAGGTGACATGACCCACCTGTGTATCATAAAAGTATCCTCCTGGGAAGAGAGGTCTGATGGACCGATCTGCAAAAGAAATAAGCAAAGTCTAAGAAGCAGTTGGTTTCCAGCAGTTAATATTCAATTTGTCTTGCAAAAACCCCACAATAAACTTTAAATTATTTAAATGAAACACCCAAAAAAAGGCAGAGAACCCAGAAAGAAATTTAGCATGAAATATACAACCCTAAAATTCCAGTCAGGACTGACAAACAAGCAACTACAGCTTTATTTCCTGACATTACCACAGAAAACCAACTCTGCAAACAGCAGTTGTAAACGACTGCATTTCCAAACACTCATCAGAACATCTCAAAATATGTAAAATACACTGTGACTGAAATGTTTCAGCCTACCTATGACTCTGCTTGTAAGAATTTCTTTATCTGTGGAGCCAAGCTCTCTTCTCAGGTAGTTTGTAGGGATCCTTCCTGCTGCAGCAGCTTTCTGTCGATAGTCAACCTTGGAAAAACAAAACAGGTTCCTACAGACAACTGACACTCACTGCAGAGCCACCCAAGCACTCAGAAGAGACACATTATATAATTTATAACACAATTATATTTTATATACATTTCATAATCCAATCCCTTGCTCAGAGCAAGGTCAACCCAGAATTCAGAATTCAGATGACAAGTATGAAACAGGCTCTGTTCCAGGGCAGATCCCACTGTTCCTTCCCTGAAGGTGGAATATCAGTCATGGAATCACAGAATGGCTTGGGCTGGAAAGGACCTTAAGGATCATCCAGTTCCAACCCCAATCCCGTAGTTCCAATCCTTAATAATCACAAGCCTTTGGAGCCTCCTAATCCAACCAGTTTTCCACACAACTAAAACAGAAAATCTGGGCTTGGCTGTCGTGGCAAAGGTCACAAGGTCAAGGCACACAAGCTCCAGGGCTCACCCCTCATCCACAGAGAATGATCCTACACATCCAGACATTTTACCATGAACTCCAGGGTCTGTCATTGCAGTGCATTCCTCACTCCCCCCAGCGCCCTGAACTCCTCTGTTCAAGGATTCTGCTGCTAAATCTTCCACAAATGATCCCAAACCTAATGTTTTGGTAAGTACTTACCACTAATGGCATAAACTGAGATGGAGCAGGCTTGGTTTTGCTGACTGCTGTGACCATCACTGCTGTGTCACCCAGCTGGGTTGAAGAAAAAAAAGATAAAAAACCTGAAGTTACCTGCAAATAAAATAACCCCTCATGTTCTGAACTTATTCACAAACTAAACTATGAAAAACAATTATTCTTCGCAGGACACAACCACATAAATCCACTCTTCATGCCAATATTTTTGCTTTTCAAACATAATTTTTTCCTATAAAACACAACTGTCCTTTCATTAGGGATTAAGTTGCTTCTTGAGTCTCTATATCCCACATCTAACAGGCTCTGATACCCTAAAGATTACTTCTAAGATGCAGAAATTTTGAAGTTGCACAACTTTTCACCACTTATTTTTTTTTACCTGAACAACAGCACAACCATCAGCAAACTTGGCAAGTTTTCCAGAAGACAGCTCCATCTTTCTGAGGGAAAGACATAACCTGTTACTCACGGTGAATTCAATTAAATTTTCCAGCAATTCTGCTTTAATCTCCAGCCCCAACTGCACAGAGCAAAGGTTACACGTCACACAAGATAAACATCCACCTCAGGTATGGAAATCGAAATTCTTTGGCCAAAAGTGACCAAATCCTCTTAACTTGACCAGCTTTTGCCTCAAGTGTCCTGCTCCTTTCACCTGAAGCAAAGCCCTGCAGCCACATCGGGTGTCACCTGGAGTTCCAGCCATTCCCTGGAGACAGAAGTGAATCACCACTGTCCCAGCTGGGATTTAGCCAGTGGGAAACACCCTCCCAGGCACAGTGGAGCTGTCTGCACATCCACAGAGCACCCTTTCCCACCACAGCAGCCTCTCTCCATGTTTCCTGCAGGTTCCCTCCAGGCACTGAAAGGCCACAATTAGGTCACCCCAAAGCTTATCCTCTCCAGGCTGAACAATCCCAGCTCTCCCAGCAGAGCTGTTCCATCCCTCTGATCATCTCAGTGCCTCCTCTGGACTCGCTCCAGCAGCTCCATGTCCTTCCTGTGCTGTTCCCCAGGGCTGGAGGCAGCTCTGCAGGGGGGGGTGTCTCACCTGAGGGGTCAGAGGGGCAGAATCCCTCCCTGCCCTGCTGTCCCCACTGTGGGATCAGCCCAGGATTGGCTTTCTGGGCTTCCAGGACACACCGCCGGGTCCTGCCCAGCCTCTCATCCCCCAGGATGAGCTCACAGGATCACAGAGTCAATCAGAATGGAAAACACCTCTGAGATCACTCAGTCCAACCTAATACGCAGAACTTGAGTTATTTTGCCAAGCTGGCAAGGTAGCCACAGACACCCCTCAACATCTCGATTTGCTGCATCCTTAGGGCTCGTTATTCCCGGATGTCCCTAAGGGATGGCCAGGATAATTCCACCGATTAAGGCTCCTTATCTGTGTGTTTTCAAGCCTATCAGCAAAGATCGCCATCAAAGAACATCCCTAGCTAAGCTAATTTCGACATACTCCGCATTTCGCACCCGCTCCCCTCACGTTTGCCTTCTCTCCCCCCGGGACAGCCCCTGCACCCCCCCTCCCCTCCGGGCCCCTCACCTGCCGCCCACCTCCACCGTCACGGCCTGGCACTGCCCGGGCCCCGCCGCGGCATTTCGGGCGGGCACCCAGCGCAGCGCGGAGCGGCCCGGGGACAGCGGCAGCCGCAGCGCGGAGCCGCCCGCGGGCAGGGCAGGCAGAACCCTTCGCCAGCGCGCCGCGGCCCCGCCGCCATCGCGGCCCAGCGCGCCCAGCGCGGCACGGCCGCAGCTTGTGGCGGCCGCCATTGCGCCCGCGGCTGGAAGGGGCGGCCGCGCGATTGGCTGCGGGGAGGGGCCCCACGCAGTAAGATCGGAGCCCATTGGCTCTGCCACTCCCGCGCCGCTTTCCGTTCCGTACGGGCGCTACGGCGGCTGAGGGGGGTCAAGCGGCGCAGAGCGCGCGAAGGCGGGAACATCGCAACCGTCGACAACCCTTGAATTCTGAGGTAAAAAGTATCAGGAAAAGGTTCAAGCCGGCGCCTGAAGCGGCTTTGGAGACAGTTCGGGATGAAATCTGGGGGGAAAGCCTGTCCAAACGAGGCTCGGAGTGAGACAGAGGACACCTGCACCGAGTGCCGCCTTGTCCCGCCAATGGCACCTCAGGAGCCAAGATGGCGCCTGGGAGAGCAGTCAGTGTTACCGCCAGAAATTCGCGGCCCTCCCTGAGGGGAAAAATACATGTATTTGGAACTCCTTTGCCCCAAAGACCTTTTTCTGTACCTGTTGTGTTCAGAGCTGTAATTCACTCACCAAAAAAAAAAAAAGAAAAGCGCCAAAAAACCCCAACCAACCAACCAAAAAAACCAAACCAAACCAAAACAACTCTTACCACACAAAAAAACCCCTCAAAAGCAAAAAACCCTCACAAATTTCAAGATAAAGAATTGTGACTAACCCCCCTGAATCCTTTAAGTGACTAATCTTACAGTTGTATTAGTTATAGATCCCAGAGCAGGGTCTGGAAATGGGAATGTGGCAGCAGCATCCAGAGACACCAAATCCAAGGTCAGGCTCCTGTCCAGCAGCTGAAGAGGCTTCTCCATCAGACCATTCCTCACTTTCCTCCTCGGTAAGGCAAGAACAGGAATTTTTAAGCCAGGAACACCAAAGTATTTTACGAAGTGCATGAGGGGGGTTAAGACAGTTGACATCCCTCATCACAGACTTGTGCTGTTACATGCTCAGAGAGCACCAGAATGTCACTCAGGGAACAATAGCTTTGTTCTTTCATTAATTATTCCTCAGTGGAATGCAAAATAAATTAGTAATTAGCATTATTTTTGTTATTTATGTGGAGATCTGATTACATCGACAGTTAAGATAGATCCATGTGGGATTAAATTAACATTAATTGTCATACATCACTTTAAACTCATCTGCCATCTGGAGTTAAAGATTTAGATTTTGACAAATATTTAATTAAAAAAAACCCTTAATTACTTACTACTCTTTTATTTCAAATGCTATTTTGATATTGCTTCTTGTTTCACTAATCTTTTCTGTGTACTTAACTGAATTTTTCTGTAAAAGTTGCACTTATAGGAAACAGATTCACTGGCTGGTAGAACAGTCCAAGCAATAATTTTGCTTTTGTGCCAACATGTTTCTTATCTTTTTGGCAGGACACAAAAGAGAGAGATAAAACAATCAGAAACTTGGGATTTGTCTTGGGCACAAGGGCTGTTAACTTTATCCACATTCAGAATTCGTTGGTACAGTTTTATTGGGTACAAAAATATATTAAGTGGCAAAGCAAGAATGTTCCCAGAGTTTTCCCAAATTCACGTTCACTTTACTGCTGACAAACAGATGATTGCTTGGAAAGTTTTTATGTCATTATTGCTCATTAAAATTGCTCTTCTTTAGCAAATTATACTGGCACTTTGTCTCTCAATAATTTATGTGTAAAAGTGACATTCTGTCCCACTCACTGCCATCAGTTCTACACAGCCAGAACTTGTATTCTGACCTTGGAATTCTGTAGCTGAGATGATGTCTGGTTATTAAAAAAAAAATCCAGAACAACATAGAATATTTTTCAGATTATGCTTTTAAAAATAATTATTAACCTTTGAATTTTTTTTATTTGAACATACCTTAAAAGGGTTAAATTTTTCACAGACAACAGTAAACATTGAAAATAGATCTTTTGACTTAAAGCAGAATTATTAAGTAGCTTTTTCCACACCCACCAGAATGAGAAGTGAATGTTCCATCACTGTCATGGACTCACAACTTATGGCCACACCACTGTAACAGGAACAGGATACCAGAACTTGGATTTCACTCCAGATAAGAGGCAGCAAATAAAACCAATGTTTAACCTAATAAAACCAGCAAAAATTATGATTGATTTATTAAGAAAGATTTGCATTTTATTTCCCTCTTCATTACATTTTTTCTCTGGTATTTTCCCCTTCCTAGATCCATATTCAATTTAATGCTATATATTATCCCATTTCTTGTCCCATTCAGAAGGACACCTACAGCACACATTCTGTTTCCACTGATTAGGGATTTGTACTTATCTGGCCAAGCTTTTCCACTTGGAAGCAAGAGGAATCAGCTGGAAATTCAAACAACAAACCCAAAGCAAACCACAAGTGAGTCCAGCCCAATGGAGGCACCTGCAGTGATTTAACATAAAAATCTTGAGCCTGCCAAGAATTTTTAAAGTCCATCCTCAGTATGTCTTTTTTTTTTTTTTAATGACATTTCAGAGTAGGGATTTATTTACTGTATTTGGTAATTTAACCTCCATAATAATGTATAAACGCAGATTTCTTCTCAGAAAGCCCCTCTAGAACCATTTTAAAGTCTCCCAAGTCACACCAAGCCCGTGAATTTCTCCTGGAGACATTTGCTTTGAGGAAAACACTGACTTCACCAGGTTCCTTCTGCCCTTGGAAGCACCCAAAGCTTGGATGTGGATGTATAAGCGTTGAGTAAATGCATCAGCTTGATTTTAACATGCTTTAGATTATTATTAAAGCTTACAGGAGACCAGCAGTCGTTTTTGAGCCTTTTCTAGCAGCCTCTGCCACACTGAAATAAACGTGTTTAATATCTGTACATTACATTATTCCATCATTTTATGCTGTATGAGTCTTATTGATATTTACCTTGTGGCTGTTAATAAAAATAGGTGTTTTTTTTCTTTTGGCCAGTATGTTCTTGCCCCATCCTCTGCAGCTCACTGGGTTTACTGGTGCACCAGAAACCTCAACTACATTAAAGTTTTCCAAGTTCCATGAGGGAATTATTTGTGATCCACTTAACCTCAAGTGATTTATTTATTTTGGCCAGGGTACATCTGTAGTTTATCACCCAGTTCTGTCCATCCTCATCCACTCCCCACCCTGCAGCTCAATAAATGTTTCATTTAAACTGCTCCAGACACTTGTAAAACAAAAAAGTGTGGGTATTTTAAGGAATGATTAACACAGAGCCAACTTTCCTGCCTAGGGACAGTGACCATTTTGCAAACACCCTTCCACTGGATGCCTTCTTATGGCTCTGTTCCCTCCAAGGCTTAAATTTATATGCCACTTTATATAGAAGATTAAATTGAGCTCTTTATATAAAGTTATATGCACTCATTATTTTATCTGTTACCTTTTTTTAAAGGGCAACCCATTACACAAACCTGGCTCTGGGAAAGCAACTCAAGATGGCACTTACCTCAAAATAAAACAGTGACAGTGATTTATTTCCCATCATTGCAGACAAGGACAATGCTGATGAGAAATTGGACCTGTGACTGTTCCAGGAAAGCCTCCCAGCAGTGCTCCAGCCACACCACCGCCAGGTGGGACAGTTTCTTTGAACTGATAAACCTATTTTAGCAGGATATATAATCTGTCCTCCTAATTTTCTAAAGAAGCCTTAGGAGTGTGCATTAAAATAGCACGATTTTAAACCAAATCCCTGTATGTTTTACTTGGTTTTCTCCCCCTGTTCTTGTCATGTTTAGCCCTACTTTAATTTAATGTCGTTCCCTGCCATAGCTCTCGTGATGGCTCTCAGATGCTGCTGGATGTCCTGAGCTGCAATAACCCGAGCGTGGCTCACTGTTCTTCAGAAAACTCCTTTGGATGAGCTCAGTGATCCAGGTGGGTGTAATCTTTGATTTGGAAGAGGGATTTTACAGGAGGAATAAGAAGATGGGCTGATGACATCAAACAAACCACCCAGCCGGTCCCATTTGACCATCTTGTTGGGGCACCTGTGTCTCACCCTATTTTAGGGCAGCACCAGCCCTCTTTCCCCTCTCTCCTGGTTTCCTGAGGGCTCTGTGCTGCTCTGCTCCCTGATATCCAAGCACTCGGTGTTTCCTGGGAGTGGAAAATGGACTCAAGCACAAGAAGAGGTAGGTGCAAGTAGGGCAGAGGATTGAACAATTATCAGAGGAGGTTTTTGTTTTCTAGGAGAATTATTTGGGTATGGTAGTAATTAAAGTATTCATGTACGTGCAGCCTGTGTGTCATGCTCATACTTTTCTCTTTTGAGGGATAAACTTCCAAGCCATTTGAATGATGTTTTTTTATTGCTGTGAAATCTGAAATTAGTGAAGAACTTCAGGAAAGCAGTTGCTATTTTTTTTTGCAGTTACAACGGAAAACAACAGGAGCAGAAAAATAAAGAAAATACTTTGGTGTGTGATTCTTTTTTTCTTTGTTGTTTAATTGCAATGTCCTTGGTCAAATATTGAATTAGAGCTGTAATGGTTTCTGGGAGCTGTGGATTTGGGTTCTTGGGTGGTTGAAGCAACCTGAGTTCACTTCACCTGATGCCTTAAGTCTGGAATCCTCTGAAATAAAGTCTGGGTTCTTCTGAAATCATTATATATACCTGTGCCACAAGATTGTATTAATTAAGATTGCATTTCCGTCTGCTTAAAGGAGGATTATTCCCTTTAACAAACTCTTCCCCTTGAAGGAGTTACCTTTGTATTTTATACCACTTTTTTATTGAGCTGCTTTTTCTGTCCCCAGCTTGCCAGGAAACAGGAATATTTTGGGTCAGTGGGGCAGGTGATGATGCCACATGGGAGACTCTGTATACATTTACCTACTGAATACACAGGCCTGCTTGCTGTAGCAGTTGAGATTCTGCAAATATGTCTTTTTAAGTATTTGCACGGTGCCTTTTAGGCAAAGGTGCTTTTTTTGAGGTGGTAAATATGCTCTGGCAGGGGGTGTTGAGCTGGGGCTGAGGTGTGCGAGGCAGGGGGATGCTCCTGAGATTTGGCAGAGGGAAGGAATTGGGAGATGGACCTGAAGCACTTGTTGCTCGTTTTTTGCCATAAACGAGGGCATTTGGGTTGGAAAACCCTGAACTGGGGGGAGATTTATAACCGTGGTAACCTGTAAAAGCTGGGCAAGTACCACGAGGTGTAAAAGAACGTGTGTCGGGGGTTCCCTTTAGCTGGGGGCGTTGGAGAAATAATATTGAGGGGGAAACAAATCTTTTATTAGAGCAATATTCAACCTCCTGCCATACGGGGGCAGTGCTCGGCTGAGCAAGGGACGTGCTGCTCCTGCTGCTGCCTGTGTGCTGCTGGTGCCTGCAGGGTGCAGCTTCTGCCCGCACAACTCCTCGCCCGGAAACTTCTAAAAATAGCCCGAATATCGAGGGAATAGTAGAGAACAACAGCTTGTTTTTCATCACATGTTAGTTCGTACCTCTCTGAGGCAAATATCCGACTTGACTCTTCAGTGTGGACAATTTTGAGTTTGCAGGGATGAGTGAGTTGGCACAGAAAGTATTTTCTTTTCTTTGATGTGAGGAGAAAAATCGACAGAAATGGTAAATTATATGGAATTTACAAGAGAAATGGTGAATTTTACACTATTTGTAAGAGATAGTGCTCTTCCCTTTGTGTGTGCAGTGGGAGTGAAGGGAGCTGAAGAGACACTGAGTTTCTGGTCTAAAAAGTAGGACCTAGAAGTGTGATTTTTAAGCCTTTCCAGGCATTTTTGTGGACTCTGAGCATTGAATGCTGTGCTCTTAACAAGAGTTGAGCAAAACTGAATTCAAAAGCACTCTGCTCGTGTGGGATAACTTAGATACCTGTTCCCAAAGCTGAATTAACACCACTTGTAACACTACAAATGACTTTGACCTGTGTTTTCAGTCAGTGTAAAAAGAAATGGGAGTGAACATCCTGTGTAATGCACAAATCCTCCAGGTGTGTGTGCTTGCTTTCTGTCAGCTCAGTTTGGGGGATTTTGAGTTAAAATGATTTGTGTTCTGGCAGACTCTCCCCAGATCCCTTCTGAGGGCTGAGCACTGCTCAGGGCTCCTCTTGTGAGGCCACGCAGATCTTGGTTGGTGGTGAAGAGCCAAAGGTCTGATTTTAAATGGTTCAGGTGGGAATTGTGTTACATTCCCAGGTCTGAAATGACCCAAGGCCCTGAATTACTGGAGTGATTGCAAGGCAAAGTGTGATGGATCTGTGGTGTGTCAGGTGGCGGCACAAAATCAGCCAGAAAAGGTGAATCTGGAACTGTTCAAACCCTTTGTTGAAAAAGCTACTTGCGATTGTTTAGATTAAAATAGCTATTAAATAGTTCCTTGGGTTTTCATGCTGGGTGTGCTTTCTTTTAACTCAGTGTGTTAATTTTAAAAAAGCATTTTGGAGTAAGAGAAGCAGTGACTCAGAGAGCCTCTCTAAGGAGGAGCAGAGCCCTGGGAGCCTCCAGGGTGCTGGTGCTGCCACGCAGAAAGGTCCAGGTGTGGTGGAGAAGGACAGGAGGATGTCATGGAACAGTCAGAAAAAAGACAGGAGCTGTTGGCCTGCCTGAACTTGTCAATAATTGAAGCATCTTAGCCATGGAAACCTGTTCATTTTTGCTCTCTAGGAAACTCCAGGGAGAGTGTTTGCAGCTTTGTTAGGAGCTGGGTGTTGGCACAGGCTGAGCTTGCAGCAGTGCTGAGCGTGGTGGACAGCACTCTGGAAATAAAGCAGCAGCCACAGGCCGGAGCTGTTCCCTCTCTCTCCCCTCTGGCATCATGCTTTGCATTTTTCCCTTTAATTTCGAAGCAAAACTATAAATAGGAGTTGGGAACTGTGTGGATGTGGTGATGGACGTGGGGTTTGTTTGCTGTTCTCACCCACTCTCCTTAAAAAGGAGGGTTAAGCTTAAATTAAGAGCTAATGATGGAGCAGTTTGTCATCCCGTGCCATGTCCTTGATCCATTTCCAGCGTGTTGGCTCCATCCTCTGGACAAATATCACTGGTTTCAGCAGGACTGGGTCTGGCCCTTTGTGTGGATCTTTCAGATTTTACCATGAACACAATTACAATAGGCTCAAAATAAACTTATTTCTTCAAGCTGGCTCCTTGGAATCCCTAAATGCCTACATTAATCTTTTATCTTTGCTTAGGAAAACATCTGTGCTGTTTTTTGGGGTATGTAGTAAGAATTCCACCTTGTTATAGGTCCTCCTGATCCAAGGAGATAGTACCTATAAAATGAAGGATGAAAACAGCAATAAAAATTTTCTAAGGCTGATTAAAAAATATGATTTATAGTCAGGACCCAGTTATAAATCTCATCAGCACTTGCTATAGTTACAGCTGTTGCCGCATTGTTGAAAGAAAGGTTAGTAAAGAATTAAGTATGTGGTGTTTAATTCATGTGGTTACTCACACAAGTTGCAACTGGCTTGAAAAATGCCATTGTTAGTAAAAGCAGGAGAATGGTGATACGTATTTATAGTCATAAGGGTGTCTACCATTTAAAACTAAGTGTGGTCCACCTTGTTTTGGGGTCTGAAATGGGTAGAACGTGTCAAAGTTTTGGCAGGGTAACAACAGCTGCTCCTGGTGGCAGGAATTTGCTCCATGGCTGGTACCAGCTCAGTGATTCAGCTTCACCCTTGGGTTTATTTTACTGTGTTATGACTTCATACGGTGTGTCTGGCCTTGATGTGATTTGGGGTATTGTCCTAAGAGCCCCCCAAGCCCCCAAATTTAACCTTTATGGGTTGTTTGTAAGCCTGTGGGTGGTGGGTGTGAAGAGCACTGGAGGAAAAGCAGGAGTTTCTCTGGTACACCCCGATTTTTAACTCTGCCACTGGACTGATCTTGATTGATAACTCCCAGCATATTATTCCCAGGACAGGTGATCCCCCATCCTTCTGCCTTTGGCTTCAGAGGTTCCACCCCACTTCTGAAAAAAACACCTATTATTAAATTTATTTTTTTTTAATTGTTACTGCAGTTTTCAAGATACTAAAGTTGATTATGTGTCCAGGCAAACATAAACACCGAGTCAGGGCAGCAATATCCAGTGTACCATGTTATCTACAGGCTTTTGTTTGCTGAATCTTCTCTCAGTGACTTCTTTCCTTTAGGATTACACCTATTTTTTTCCAATTCCAAGCAATTGTTGGGTAGTTTCTACTTGTGAAACCCTCAAGGAGCTGTAATTCTGTCCCTGCCATGATTGAAAAATGAGGAAAGCTCTTTTATTTTCTTCCTGAACCTGTTTAGGTGTGATACTTCTAGTTTTGAGAGCAGTGGACTGTGGCCAGCTGGTCTTGCCCAGCAATTTCTGCCTCTGACAGGGGGACAGTGCAAGGTGCTGATGGGCACCAGCAAATTCACAGCTCTGGGGAAGCTGTACAGGGAAAACAATGCCAAGAAAATCCTCTCTCCATCTGCTTTGTGCTCTGAAAAGGGGTTGACTTGCCATGCCACAGAATTTTGAGGCTGATTTTTTTTTTTTTTTTTCCTGACCCTGGGAAGAATTTGAGGTTGCGAGGCTCTGGCTGAGCTGGAATAAACCCCAATTTCTTGGCTGGCTCTGCAGGGTTTGGGGATTTTTTTGGCCTCTGCCTTGGGATCCCTGGCCAGGGCTGGCCCCAACACCAGCAGCTCCTGTGCCTTGCTTGCAGGCAAGAGGGAATGTGCTTGTAAGGATTGCAGGAAAATCCTGCTGAGGGTGCTTTTGGGACAATTTGGGGGCTCAGTTTGACACCTGCCCTTCACTGGGTGGGTGTTAATGCCTCCTGGAGGGGGTGTCCCCTCTGGGACCAGGCAGCTGGGGATGGAACCTCCTACCCTGGCCCTTGGAGCTTGGCATGGCCACCCTGCAGTCCCCA